TGCTGAACCACCCCCTGCCACTTCCACTTAGCAGCCTTGCTAAAAATGAGGTGGCGTCCACATAGGGCATATATCCATTTGAGCTACTGTACTGTATTCCCCTTGGTGTGTCTTAGAGAATGCAAAGGGCTTTTATAGGTGCCTGAGGAGTCTAACACACACCCCAGAGCACTTTAAGAGCAAAGCCTTTAGAACCCAAGGGGAATCTTTCCAGCATTTGCATGAGTTGGCTCCTAGGCGGCCTAGGCAATGTAGCATAGATGATGCTCATCAGAATTTCAGAATAAGGCCATTAGATACAAACCAGCACATCTGTCCAGGCAAAGCTTGCAGGCTGTGCTAGGGTAGCCAAAAACCATATGTAGAAAGAGAAGCATGGCAATGTGATGAAGTTAGCACTTGGACACATCTGGAATAAATCATTAACCCAGTGCACAGGGACATGTTTTTTTATCACCTTGCAAAAACTAAACTGGTAGTATAACTGCCCAGCGCTGGCAGAGACAAGGGAATCTGAGTGTGTCAGTGAGGAACATACCTCTCGCTCTGCAGGCCTGATCTGCTGCTGCACACGGTGTATACTCTGGAAATAACATCCCTGAACGAGAGCAGACATACAGCCTTCGCAACACACCTGAACGCACAGTCTCACCTTGGCGGAGTTGGCATGCTAGGATCAATTGCTTGAAACAGATTGATTGTATAGTTACTGTGTAAAAATGACGATCTCTGCTGTAGGGGATATAACTACCCTGTGGGGATCAACAGAATAGATGAGGGGGGCCGCTTCACTGGGCTGTGAAGCTGCATGCAGCATGCGTTCATCAGAGCCAGGAATGGCCTGCGTCTGGCAGGGGAAAGGGTACAGCTGAGAAACTGCAGATGAGGCTGAATGAGCTCAGTAATGAGGCTGCATTCTGGGAGGCAGCATCCTGAGTCAAAGGCAGGAAGGGAAAAACCTTTTAAATTAATTTAAGCAAATGTCTAAAATGCCCCCATTCTCCTATGCAATCCCTTTTTGTTCCACAGCAGGCAGGGCACTGCCGCTCCTATGGGTCCTCCCCAGGACTGCAGGTGTTTCTCCCATGTAAAGCAGAAGCAGCATCTGCACCATCTCCCTGAGACCAGCCAGGAGTGAGGAGAGGGGAAAGCATTGAAAAGAGGGACTAATACGCACGGTCTTGTTCCCAAGAATAAGAGCATCTTATTTTTCCTGAATAGCTAACCAAGAAAATCCCGTGGTTCAGTGTCAAGCCTTGTTTCCTAACACTAGTGAGCAGCAGGTTACTGCAGACTGAGATACAATGAAAAGAGAGAATACAGGAACTCACAGGAACAGGGAAAGACCTTCTGTCTGGCAGTGCTGGCAGGACTCCTAAGCAAAAATTCCAGCCTCAAAAGCCTATCAAAACACTTAGATGGTTCATTTAAATTCCTGACACTTTTCATTTATCAGCAGGCAGTGGTGAAAAAGATAGGGATTTTCCTTGCCATCTTTGTTTATGGAAAAGAGGCGTCTGTTCTCAGGCATTTGCACACACAAAGACTCAAAAGCTCCATGATGGCGTGACTAGAGGTGAATTCCCCAGTGTGGACTCACTTGGCTCCAAGGTATTATATGCATATTTATAACAGATAAGGACACAGTATTTTTGGTTTGGTACGACGGATGGAAAAAGCAGATAAAATAAATATAGATGGTACAAAACATCTACAGTTACAGGAGCCCCAGAGAGCTTATGAATTTTTTTTTTCAAATTTACTCTTAAAATATCTTCACATTTAGTATTTTTGTTAGATCACATGAATAACTGCAGAGGTACATGTGGCAAAATCAGCCCGTTTTCAAAAAATTGAAATGATGTGCTAAAAACTTGCCATTTAGGGGTGAGTTGATTTCTGTTTCAAATTACTTGTCACCTCATACTATTCTCCTGCACAAGTAGACAGATAGAGGGAAAGAAGATGGACTGAGAGCTGAAAGGTGCATAGGTGTTATCCCACTAATCATTTTTGTTGGGCTAGAGGACTCATTCAGGATAGCAAGGCTAGAGAGGTTAATGATAGAAAAATAAGTTTATACTTTTATAGCAGCCTTCATTCTAAGGACTTCCCAAATACTTCATAAATTTCAACTAATACACAAACTACACCTAGAAATCTCATTTTACCACTGCAGAGAAGCCACATCTGGAATGCAATATAGCAGTTTATTAACTGCATACAATCAAAATTGTGCATACTTATGGGCAGAAATTAGAAAAAATAACATCCATCTGTAACCCTAAGGATAATTTGTGGGTGCAGAACATCTTCATTAATAAGCTTCTTCTAAACATATGTGGCAGTTAAAAACCAGAAAACAAACACAGCCTGTTCCCCATAGACCTAACAACATTCCAGGGCTGCTGCAATGAAGCAAGTCTTTTCCATCAGCTTCAGGCAGCCAGGAAACAAAGCTTTTCTAACGTTCTTTCATGCCCTCCGGTTGTTTTTTGGTTTGTTTGTTCATTTCAGCAGGCTTTTAGGCAACAAAACACCTACCTCCTCATCTACAACAGAGGCAACTGAAAAGCAATTGTTGACTGAGGAAAATACCGGTATTACTTGTCTACTTGGGATCTACTGAAGACTGGTTTATAAAAGCTTCTGGTGCTTTTGACTGTGACTCAAATGCCACCTGAAGCTCCTTTCTCTGGTGTTTAATCCTTTCTCTCAGATAGCTCTCAGAGTAAGGACAGCTTCCTAGTTTTTAATAACATTATTATGAGAACTCATATATCCCTGGGGATGTATCTGAAAAGCTTTAGGCTTGAATTATTCACTGATGATTAAAAAACTGCCCTTATTTGGTCCTTGATTCAGCAAACCTGCCTTTTTCAGAGGATTTTCTGAAAGTCAAGCTCCTCTAAGGAAAGCAGGATTCTGATAAAAGTTTGTTATATACTGTCAGCTTTGCCTTGGCTGAAAAAGGACAGGGGAATAGCCAGAGAGAAAAGAATATGCACTGCTTACCATCTCTTGTCACTTTAGCACAGCTCCACACCCTATAGCAGTAAAGTAAGATCCCTCTGTTCTACCAAAGCTCCAACCACATTGACAGAGGACAACCAAGACAGCCATACCATGACGGAAGTATACTGATACACAATGACAAAGCCTCTCTCTGCTATTATCAATAGGACAGATCTTTACCAATAATACAAAGAAAAGCAGAAAGAAGCCCTAGCATCCAGCCTAGATGTGATCCACATGCAGGTAAGCCTGATTGCATCGAGATCATCCCCTGCCTCCCAAGGAAATTCAGATTGTGTGGCTTCACCAAGCATTTCCAGCCAACCTGGCATGCATCTTTAACAATAACACTGGTGTCAGCATCAGCAGTGGGTATGTTAGATGCCTACTTCAGTCCTCTGTAACCATTCCACTGCAGGATTCACTCTGCAGGCTCCATCTGTTAATCTTCAAGGTATTCCCTACTGGAGACCAACATTTTAGGCTGATTTGAGAAAGTCCTGCTGACTTCAGGAGACTTGGAACTATTTACCTCCCAGGTCGATCATTGCAGTGCTGCAGCTCTAAGACTCTGGCTGCAAAACATTTGACTGTGACAGAGTCCATAATACATGCCCTGTAGGAGCCAGCTTCAGCTAGGATGCTGAGGAGTTTTCCAAAGCTGACCTATAAGCAGCCTCAGATGCTGAGGAGACTCTTCCCCTCCTGTGTCAAGAAAGAATGGGCCAAGCTCACTTCATAAACCTCCAGACGTATTTTTCCAAGGTGTCTTCAGCCCAAGAACAAGACCCCCAGTTCCCCAAAATATTTTTCTCTCTCTAGAAATTTCTGCAAATCCTACAACTTCCAAGTGAGCTTCTAAAACCACAAGCACAGGAATTCTGATTTAGGCTTCTCTATTCTCCTGCAGAAATGTGTTACCTCTCTGTTTATGTGAATAATTAAAGTAGGACAGCTCCCACAGGACAGGCTGAGGGACTACCTGCTCCAGAACATCTTGTGGCTAATATTCAGGAGAATTTTTGATGAAATGTAGGAGAAAAGGTAAATAAATCTTTAGTCCAACTTGCTCTCCCACACCCCAGCAAGTGTCCCTCTATCCAGGAAGCTCTCAGTTACTTGAGGATGAGTGTGTCTCACCATCCTGTTCTGTTTGAATTCACAAAACATCCTAGCAAAAGTTATAACAAAACTG